GGTATTTTATCTTAAAAAAGTATTTTAAAGATGCCTATCTTGTATCTAGTATTTCAGATACCAATGTCAATACCATTTTGTATCTGGTATCTGAAATACTTAATTTAAAAATATCTTGCATTTTGTATTTCAGATACTTTGTATTGGGTATTTCATACATCACTGTTGTAATGTAGGTAACATGGGACTTGTAAATAAATCCTACTAACATTTGTTCCCACTCTTATGGATTGAAATACCTGTAAATACTAGTTCTGTACAAAATTATTCATTAAAACCTTAATAGATACCTAATTTACAATTTTGTGGTCATTAAGTTATATCATTATGATATGAGCTGTGTCACCGACTTCTAACCTACCAGTGGGTGGGTACTTAACCTATCAGTACGTACTAATATTTATTGCTTTTTAGTTTTTACTTTTTGTTTGTTATTAGATTTTAATTTTTTGAAGTCGGTTTTTTAAACGTAGTATTTATCTTATTACTTTATCATTTTTACTACATAGATCCGTTTTTTCAGTTAAAATCTATACATAGGTGCAAAGTTCTAATTAATATAAATTATACAAGGTAGTTTACACAACGTATTTATACTATTGTTTGTTGTTTGGATTGCCAGCGTTATATTAAGTATATACCTAGGTTTTATAATTTAGCTTTTATCATTTTTTTTCACTGTCTTGTGTTACACTCTTATATTATTCTATTAAATTGTATTGTAGGTATTGCTACTTTTTGTTCCTTGCATTCATGCCGTATGCCGAATAAACTCTTTTCATTTCATTTAGGTAGGTACTCTCCAAATAAAATGCAAAAACCATCCAATCAGTAACTAACTTTCGTAAAAACCATTTGAGGTTAAATGGTTTTTGTCTGTCGATATTGAACATATTAAAAAACGCATTGTCTCGCGTAGACCTACACTCCGACATACCAGAGGTTAAGATATGCCGATGTTCTACCATTTTCCGTAGCGCGACGTGTAGATAGCTCCTGGCAATTTATCTGCCAGAACCCGCAGACGCATCCGCCGAACGTGTAGAGCTAGAGCCGGCATGATCGCAGCAATGGCCGAAACGAAAACATTCCAGATTTCGTATAGGTAATACCTATTCGTACATCGCATTTCAGAACGAGCTACGAGCGAAAACAATACGAGCGAGGAATGGGGACTGATCATGGAGATCTGTGACCGCGCCGGCGCCTCCGCACAGAGCGCCAAGGAGTGTCTGCGCGCCGTCATGAGGCGTCTGGCGCACCCCGACCCTCACGTACAGGTACACGCCGCCACGCTGCTCGACGCCTGCGTCGCCAACTGCGGCCGCGCCTTCCATCTAGAGGTCGCCTCGCGCGACTTCGAGACCGAGTACCGCCGCCTACTGGCGCGCGCCCAGCCCGCCGTCGCACAGCGCATGCGCGCGCTGCTGCGCAAGTGGGCCGAGGGAGAGTTCCGCGACGACCCACAGCTTGACCTCATCCCCTCGCTGCACTCCAAGCTGCGCGCCGAGGCGGGCGAGGCGCCGCGCCCCGCCGCCGCTAGCGACGCCGCCGCCGCCGCCGCCGCGCAGCGCGAGCAGGACGAGCTGGCGCGCGCCATCGCACTGTCGCTGCGCGACGCCCCCGGCCCGGCCGCGCCCGCCGCCGCGCCGCTGTACCCGCGCGTGGACGCGCCCGACGCCGCCACGCCCCGCAAGGTCCGCGCGCTCTACGACTTCGAGGCTGCCGAAGACAACGAGCTCACTTTCTTAGCTGGCGAGATAGGTGTGAAACCGTATTTTTACTACTACAGGCCGACGCGTGAGTTCTATCTCACCCGGTGGTATCTTCGCAAACGAAGTGTCGACCGACGTTAAAGTACGCTTTTTTCGCTTCACAGTTCACGTCACTGACTCCAGCGATCCGAATTGGTGGAAAGGGTACAATGAGCGGGGGGAGGGCTTATTTCCTGCCAATTTCGTAACGGGCGACCTGGCAGAAGCGCCGCGCGCCGCGTCGCCGGCTGGGGGTGCCGGGGGCGCCGGGCCCGCGGCGGGCGCCGGGAGCGCGGCCGAGGCGCGCGACGAGGCGCCGGTGTGTATCGACGAGGCGACGATGGACGCGGCGCTGAGCGCGCTGCACGAGGCCGACCCGCGCGAGGCGGGCGCGGGCGAGGCGGCGCTGGCGCGGCTGGAGGCGCGCGCGCACGCGATGGGTGCGCTGGTGGACGCGGCGCTGGAGCGCGCGGACCGCCGCCACGCGCGCCTGACGCAGCTGAGCGCGGAGCTGGTGGACGCGCTGAACTTGTACCACTCGCTGATGCGGGACCCGCTGAAGCCGTTCGGTCACGGTCCGCACGGCCCCCCCGGGCCCCCGGGTCCCCACGGTCCCCACGGGCCTCACGGTCCCGGCCTGCCCCCGCCGGGTCCCTACCCGCCTCATGCCTTCGGACCTCCGCCGCTGCACCCCCCGCCTCCCCGGTATAGTACCATTGACTCGTTATGTTATACAACGTAGCAGTTTTGCGCGAAACTTTAACACACCCAAATGATTATTAAATCATCATTCCTAAATCGTTAAAAAATTTTAAGGTTTTGTGATGTTTTAGTTTAATGTATGTATGTAACCTTTGATTATATAATGTCTAGATAGAGTGTCAGTTTACGAAAAGCCTCTTCCCGTCAAGTAGTACCAATTGTGTCACCTAGGCGTCACTAAGTGCATGCACGCTACAAAATAAAGTATTGTGCTTAAAATTTAAATGACGGTTAAAAGTACTAAACAGATCACTTGTCCATTAAAAAATCGTTAAGGCATTAAAAATTCTATTATTCAATTTATGTTTCTGACCTAATTGCCGCCATATTTTATCAGTGTTGCTAATTTATTTTTTAATATTCCCTTCTCAAGAGTCTCATAAAGGAAAAATTTTTAAAAATCTCACTTGCTTGTGATTTAAAAATAAAATAATAGTTTTATTATTTATTGAACTAACACTTACCTACGCTTTAATGTACTATTTATTCTAACCGACTAAAAAAAGAATATTCGTTTCGATTTTCGACTATTTCGATTTCGAAATCGATATTCTGATCAAACTATTTTCAGGTTTTACGCTTTGAAATCCTTGTATAACTTTGTGCACGCTTCTTACTGCACATTGAAGCAGTCACTTGTATAGTTGTTAGTAATTATTTGAAGTCCCACCATCACATATTGACAATTAATGATAGATCCGATTCTATCTGCAAACTAAAAGTACTAGGTCGAGGCCTAGTATCTTCGCCGGATCGATCGGCAATGGACGTCCTCCGGCTAAAGATGATGACAAGCCCCAGTTCCTTGCTGAGATCCTCGCCACGTATAATTATGTCGACAATGATAGAATCGCTCACGTTGCTGATGGTGTTACAGATGCTGAGGCGCCGGGAACCGCTGCCTGCTGATCATACGTTATGGTGATATTGTTATTATGTTGTATCTATTTAAATTGTAACTTTCTGTAGCGAATTAAATTTATTAAAGGATCATTATTCACTAATACGAGCATATTTCATTTATGTTTCTGATGAAAGCATCGACTGTGCGGACAAACAGGTGTCCAATAAATAGTGAGGTACTCGCAGAGCTGCACCCAAATAAGGCCCTGTAGAACCACTGCTTTGGCTCTACAGTTCTAGGTTTGAAATTAAAAAAAAAGGATAACTGATATTTCACCGAAATATTGGTCTCCTTCACAAGGACGGTTGGAGGACGGGGCATTACAATACATGGACCCTTATCAAATTGTCGGAATGACGGAGAATCCTAAACCTCCGTCCATACTCTTGAAGTTTGTCACAAATGCCAAACACAACAAATAAAGTCTCAAACATCGATGAGTAACAAGCGTGTGGAAACATCGAGAACTGTGTGCCGAACACTTTTGATCTGTTTGTGGTCGGCATCGGTGGCACAAACAAGAATAGTCGCACATAAGTCTTGAAGTCTTATATCTTGGTCTCTTATAAATGCATTCTTACATTTTTGTTTGTATTTACTTTTACTATTTGATCTATACATTTTTCTAATCACAACTTTTCACACACATACGCACGCATACACATATGCACACATAGTCTGCAGAATTTATATTATCTATTTAATCTCATATTTAAATCTATTTTCTTTTCCTTATTGAGGGGCGGTACCGCCGTCCGTGAGTCACTGCAGGGTGCCACCTGAAAATCAGCGTTGGGCAGGAATGCTCAACTATATGCTGAGGTGGAGGCCCTTTTGACATGTGCACACGCAGTATCATATTATTTATATTATGGTGTTTTTTTTTGTGTATTTAATTTGTTTGTATGTACATTATTTTCTTATATTTTGATGATTTTTACTATTTTCTTTATGCTTTTATGTTTCCTTTTGATATTATGTATTTGTGTAAGTATGTACTTGTATTTTTTTTTTGTATTTTTCTTTTTTTTTTTTTCATAATCTTTGTTTGTGTGCCATGTGCCAAATAAATGCTTTTTCTTTCTTTCTTCTTTCTATATGCTTACCTACTGATTACATATTATATACTCGAATTTATTGCGAGGCTCGATCCTTACACATAATTACTGTACCAAACGCAAATAAGTTTGTCGAATGTTAGGTTGCCCGCAGCGGATCGTCTGCTGGAACTCTTGGGGCGAAGGTCGACATTTAATAGTGAGTTTGTGTAATGTTTGTTACTCAATCACATTAAAACGAATGAAGGGAATAGGACGAAATTTGGAACAGAGGTAGACTATGGTAAGGTTTCCTCTCTCTTTTTGGCATACCTATAAAAGTATCTATCTATTTGATACAAGCCAATGAAACAAATATTGTTGTGATACTTTTATTAAAAACTTATTATTATACCTATTTACATTTTAATTTAGATCGTTTACAATAATATTCCTATATTTATACCTGCATTTTGACTAGAAAAGTGTCGGAATGATTTACGTGTAAAGCTTGAGCAGTGGAGCGTGTCGGGGCTCGGAGCGTCACGAGAGGAAGGCGTCGGTGTCGGCCGGCGGCGCGTCCGCGCTCAGGTACGTCGTGTCCGTCGCGCCCGACGCCGGCGCGCCCCACGACACCCAGCGCGCCTGCAACGAGCCGGTACTACTCACTGGGCCTCCGCACGCTCGCCCGGGCGGACGCATACGTACCTCGGCGCGGTCGCGCGCGTGCTGCCAGGGCTCCAGGTCCAGCGGCAGCGCGTCCAGCGGCAGGTCGAGGCAGGGCGCCAGCAGGCGCGGCGAGTCGGCCAGGAAGGCGGCAACCTCGGCGGCGCTGGGCCGCGCCTTGTGCTCGGCCTGCCAGCACGACTTGATGAGTCCCTCCCTGCAACGTACGTTGTACTTGCTACACACGGGTTACTCCATCAACTGTCCCGCGTCTGTTCGCTTCACGAACGAACCAAGCAACGAACGACACCCGTGAAGATTCTTATAAAAATATATGCACGCCCATTGAGACACGCAGAGATAGAGTATCAAGCAGCAGACAGAAATAAGCTCATGATGAAGACACGACTACACGCATCGAGTAAACTGTGTAGGATGGACTAGTGCCGAGATCATGCATTGACAATTTAAAAGTACCTACTTAAGTTATTGCACTGGTGAAATCTATTTTGTTTTTGTATAGCTGTTCTGTTATTTAATATTTACGACAAATATTTGAGGAACTAACACCACTAAAACTATGGCAACACGCAATGAAAGTGCATTGAATGTCATCAGAGGTATGATCGAGTTTGTTTTGCGAATCGTTGTTTGTTAAAAACGTACTAGATTGGAATTTAAGTGAATAAAACTTTATTAAACATGCAAAAGAACAATTCGGAGTGTAGGTCGACTGATTGTATTTCGAGTATAAAGTGATTGTCAATAGAACAAACAATTCGCTGGGCAATAAGATTATTTTGTCGCTCGAACAGTGGCTATGACAGGTATGAATCGTATTACTGTTTATATTTTATTTGCCAGAAGTGAAGAGCCCACGGATTAAACGATTTTATGTCAAGGATTGTTTTCATTGTAAATTTATTTATAGGTAGGATGGTATTTGGTTGGTACTACCTTACTTCCCCTGTAGCGGTTTCTATATGAACGACCTGTGGCGCCCTCATTGATTTTCATTATTAAATAGACAAACTGTAAATTGTACAATTTTCCCGCATACTGTCTGAATGTATCCGATAAAAGATCGATAGGCTCGCGACCTACTGCCTTGTACACTTTTTATCATACAAATGTCAGACATCCTAGTCTTTCAAAACTTAAGGAGAGAAGGAGATGACGCGCCCCTAGCATCTAATGGGCCGTCAGACGGGAAATTCTCCGAGGAGCACAGTGTGTTTCATCTCTTAAACAATCGACTTTGGGAAAAGACTTCAAAGATAACTTTACTGTGAGATGAACGGACTGACAGACAGACATGACGCATCTATAATGCATCTCGACTAAAATGCTTGCGTAGTGCGAGCACTTTTTATCATCTGGCTACGGTACGATAAAAAGAAACGTTTTTTTAAATCATGGCCTGCACTAGGCCCGGACGCGAGAGGTCGCCATCGCCGATCACTTCCCTGAGGGCACGGCGGTGCTCAGCCCACGCAGGGCATTCCGCTACAGTATGTTCCACCGTGTCCTCAGGGCGGTCCTCGCAGTGATGACACCCGGGCGTTTCCTCCCGCCCCATCAGACACAGGTACCTCCCGAAAGTTCCATGTCCGGTGAGGACCTGCGTCAGGCGGTAGGTGAGGACGCCGTAGCGTCTCTCAAGCCACTCCTCAAAGAAGGGTCTTACCGCGTTTGGCCCCCCGAGATTGGGCCCCCGTCCTCTCCAACTTGGGAGCCGCGCGTTCCCGAGGCCATGAAAACATATGGCTTCGGACTTGTGGAGCGCCACCTCGAGTCCCAACTGCCGGATTCTTTCAACGACTGTCGCAACCGCTGTCGCCATTAAGTCGGCCGCCGCCTGGCGCGACCTCCCGTGCGCTAGCACCAGCGTGTCGTCGGCGTAGCACATTGTGCTAACGCCGTTCGGGAGGTCGGTGCGCAACACCCAGTCATAGCCGATGTTCCACAGGAGCGGCCCCAGAACCGAACCCTGTGGAACACCGCGTGACATCTCCCGCCGGTTCCACTCGCCCCGGTGACCGGGGTAGCTGACGGACCTGTCCGTCAGGTATGCCTCGATTACACGACGGAGGTAGGTAGGCACCCGATGATATCGGAGTGCCTCCAAGATGCAGCTCCAGGGCAGGGAGTTGAAGGCGTTGGCGATGTCCAGAGACACCGCCACTACGACCTTACCCCTGGACACTGCAGTCCCTTTCGTGAGGTCCCTTACTCGCATGATGGCGACCACCGTGGAGCGCCCTCTGCGGAAGCCGAACTGGCCGTCCGACAAGTCCGGCCCAATGTCCGTCAGGAAAAGAAACGTTTATAGTTGATTCGTATCTAATTCCCGGAAACGTGACAATGAAGTAACGACTCACAGTTGCGGCTTCAAGCCCGGCGGCAGCTCCAGCGTATGGCCGGCCTTGACTCGCGCCAGCACCTCGGCGTTGCTCAGGCCCTGGAACGGCAACGAGCCGAACGTCACGATCTCGTACAGCAGCACGCCGAAGGACCAGACGTCGGACGCCGGCGAGAACACGCCCAGCGCCAGACTCTCCGGCGCCATCCAGCGCACCGGGAGCATGCCCTTGCGGCTGAAGCGGTAGTAGTCGTGCTCGAACACCAGGCGCGTCATGCCGAAGTCGGCCAGCTTCACCACGCGCTGCGCCGACACCAGGCAGTTGCGCGCCGCCACGTCGCGGTGCACGTAGCGCAGCTGCGCCAGGTACGACAGCCCGCGCGCCGCGTCCAGCGCCATGCCCGTCAGCCGCGCCGCCGACACCTCGTCCGCGCCCGCGCCCGTCGCCAGGTGGCGCCGCGCCAGCAGGTAGTTCTTCAGGTCGCCGTACAGCATGAACTCCATCACGGTGCACACCGGCTCCGTCTTCGTCACCACCCCCAGCAGCCGCACTACGTTCTTGTGGTCGAAGCGCTTCATGGCCTCCGCTTCGGATAAGAAGTCGAGTTTCTCCTCGGTGGTGGCGCCGGCCTTGAGCGTCTTGACGGCGACCGCGGACCAGCCGCGGTCCTCCGCCAGCAGCGCGTGTCCGCCGTACACGGTGCCGAAGGCACCCGTGCCGAGCTTCCTATTGATAACGACGCGCTCGCGCGGGATCTCCCAGCGGTCCAGGCCGCCGGGCTTGGGGTCGAGGCGCGTCAGTCCCAGCGCGGCCAGTCGCGCGCGGTACTTGCGCTCGGCGCGGCGCTTGCAGTGGCAGGCGGCGGCCGCGCTGGCGCCCAGCAGCGTCGCCAGCGCCAGCGCGGCCAGCGCCAGCACGGCGGCGCGGCAGTCGGCGCGCAGCACGTCGGCCAGCGCCTGCAGCGCGCAGTGCGGCGCGCCGTCGTCGGGCGCGCGGCCGTCGGGCGTGAGCCAGCGGGGCGCGCGGGGCCCGGCGCGGTACCCGGCGACGCGGCTCCAGGCGCCCAGACGCGTACGCGTGCCGTTGGTCCACTGCTGCACTACGACGGGCGCCAGTCGGACGCGCGCTCCACTGGCGTCCTCGCTCCATTCGAACTTGCCCGTGAGCCCGCTGTAACTCGACGTTGTGACGTCCTCTATTAATGCTCTGAAATTATATTTTTTTACATGAGACTAGTTTTATGCTTACTCGATTAGGTACCATTAACTCGTCGAGTACCGTATTTATAGACACAATTAAAGAAATATAGGTTGCGGTCACCGGTGACCGCTTGGTGTTTGACATTTTAACGAATTAACTGATGTTACGAACTAAGTGTCCTATTATGTTAAAAACTTCGCATCACTACGAGACAATCGACAAATGTCCTTCTAAGTACAATGTTACTATAGACATAACATAGCTTGTACGAGCGCCTGATGGATATACCATAGCAACGACGTGTGCTTAGTATAATGTTAGCTATTAAGTAATTGTATTATTTTAATTTGTATGTACCGACGCTAATCTCTTCACTTGCTGTGCTGTACTCGCTGAGTTAACACCTCATTAAACTTCTACTTGCTGAGTATTCTTTGAGTCTTTTCCTGCGAAGCCCTGGCCAATACATGGTCCATTACGATCCGGATACATTATATACAGAAGATCAGCGCATATAAATAGAGGATATTGGATATCGAGCAATAAGGATCCAGCGTGACATCGCAATTTTGGATTGGACTAAACTCAAGCAGTGATTTAGCGGTGTAAAGCATTTAATTTAAGTAATATCGTCACCCAACACTCAGGTAGTATAAGTTAAGGTCGTCGTCTTGAATAAAAGGCCAGTATCATTTTTTATAATTTATCTACCATAGTATTGTGTTCGTGCAATTTGCAGTCATTAGTCATTAGGTACTTGTTACTTGTGATTAGCATTTTTCACAGTTTTAATTAAGTTTAAATTCATACTTAATATAGTATAGTTAGCTTTGCTACATTATTTTGCTTAATTTCCATAAAGCTGTAGCTAATTCACATTTTTAGAGGACTTGTTAATTGTCACGAGTAGGTAGCTTACCCGCAATACATTTCATTCGAGTGTAGATATTATTGCAAGTCATTGTTAAAATTAATAAAGTTATTAGTATTCAAAAGGATTATTATCAGTTGTACATGTATTAAATAACAATTAATGCTTAAAATTTAGCTTTTCTATAGCAAATCAGTTTTTATTTTACAACCTTAGAATTGTAGGTACTTGTACAATTAAAAAATAAAATTACATTGTCTTTGTTAACAATTGGATTTCTGGTTTATATACTGGTTTTCTTGCAAAATTATTAATTGTACTAATTGCAAAGGTTGTTAATTAGTGTATAAAACAATTAGGTGTATATGTAAATTGTATTGTTCATTATTACAAGTAGATCTGTATCAGTTTCAGGTTGACTACACTCTCGTCTTCCAGTATGTCCGAGGAAAGGGATTTAATCAAAAAGCGAGGAAGCTTCAAAGGCCGTTTGACTGCTTTCGTCAACTTCCTGGACTCACTTAAGGACAAACCGTTAACTAGTTGTGATGCTTCTGAACTGCAATTGCGCATGGGCAAGATCGAGTCGTTGTATGAACAATATGATGAGGTACAGTTGCGTCTGGAATGCATGGCCGACGATATAAAATTACAAATTTCTGAGCGTTCTGATTTCGAGTCTCTTTATTATAAATCCCTGTCTAGAGCCCAAAATATTTTGACAGACTTTAATAAAGATAATAAATCGATGGAAAGCTGTAACAGTACACCTGGTAGCATGCACAAACCAGTCAAATTGCCTACGATCCAATTGCCTAAGTTTAGCGGTATATATTCTAATTGGTTAGAATTTCGTGACACCTTTGCTAGTCTCATTCATACTAATGATGACATCGACGACATCAACAAATTTCACTACCTGAGAGCATCTCTCGAAGGTACTGCTGCGATAGTAATTAAATCTGTTGAGTTTTCGTCGAGCAACTACTCTGTGGCATGGAAGTTGTTACGCGATCGATTTGACAACAAAAGATTACTGGTACAAAATCATGTATCTGCCCTGTTTAATATTGAGTCGCTCTCAAAGGAATCTTCTGTTGCATTAAAGAGTTTAATCGATCAGCTGAATAAAGATTTACGAGCTTTAGAATCTTTAGGGGAGCCAGTAAAGCAGTGGGACACGCTGCTCATTTACATTGTCACTCGTAGCTTGACCAAAAGACGTATCGTGAGTGGGAAGAGTGTAAAGTAGGTTAGACAAAGCCAGCCCGATTACATTTGAAGTGTTTATGCAATTCTTACGTAGTCGAGCCGATCTAATCGAGACATTAGAAATATCTCGCACAAATAATTCCCAAACGGTAGTTAAAACAGGTCCTAAAATTAAGTCTATGGTAGCTACACAGTCTCCTACTAGTTCTATCACTGAATTAACTTCTAAAGTATGTCCTAAATGTAACAACACTGATCACACGCTAAATACTTGTCCACAGTTTCTCGCTTTAACAAATGATGCTCGACTTAAATTACTACCCAATTATAAAATTTGTTACAATTGTTTTCGCTCGGGTCACTACGCTAACAAATGCAAGAAGCCAGGTTGTAAATTATGCAAACGTAGGCATAACACACTGATTCACACAGATTTTAAAGGCACTATTTCGGGTACACTTAATGATAATAACACTGCTAATAACTTGTCTACCTCGTCTTCGTTACCGTCTGCTCCACTGAGACAAATAACATCGCGTTATCAGCACATATTGCATCCTCTAGTGGTCATATGCAGCGAGACGTGTTGTTGCCAACCGCTCTGGTCAAGGTGCGCGACCGCAATAATTGTGTGCATCTCGTTCGCGCAGTCCTCGATAGCGGCAGCACATCGTCATTCATAACGAACCGGTTATGTAGACAATTAAACTTACAAACTAGCCAGGTAAATAGGTGTATACTTGGTATTAATAATCTCACGTCCAACGTAGGCAAACAATGTCGATTTAAAATAGAATCGTTAAATGATGACTTTAAATTCGAACTTCATTGTTTTGTGTTGCCATACATTACTAGTAATGTTCCGTGTCGTGAAATAAATATTAGTAACTTTAATATTCCACCGAATATTACTTTAGCTGATCCTACTTTTTATAAGCCCGCTGATGTAGATCTTTTAATTGGTGCTGATCTCTTCTGGGATTTACTAGGATCGCAAAGATTAAGCTTAGGTACCGGAAAACCGATGTTATTCGAGACTCGCCTAGGATGGATAGTCTCCGGTCCAATTACTCAAAACTGTAGTTCTTCAGTTTCAACTAATTTAAAATGTAATTTAAGTAGTACTGTTCCTATTAATCATGACTGGGAGAATCTTAGAACCGATTTAATAAAATTTTGGCAACTAGAGGAAGTAATCCCGAAATCTTTGAGTTCTTTCATGCCGGAAGAAAAGTCGTGCGAGGAACATTTTGTTAAAATTACGACACGATTGTCTGATGGTCGGTTTTGTGTTCGTATACCCCTTTAGAACAACCCGTCGGTTCTAGGTGATTCCTTAAATAAAGCTACACACTGTTTACAGTCATTGGAACGTAGATTAAAAGTTAAGCCTGGTTTTGGTAATATGTATCGTGACTTCATGTTTTATAGATTTTAGTCGATTTTCTAATTATTCACGAGTTTTACGTTCTGTAGCTTATGTCAGATTCATTAAGTCATGTAGGAAACAATATGCAGCGACAAGTTACTTGTCTCAGGATGAGTTGCAAAATGCACTCAATATTGTGATCACACAAAGTCAGTGTGAATCATGAATCCTGAATATAAACAACTTTTAAATAAACAGAAAATACCTAAGAAGAGCGCCCTTCTCAAGTTAAACGTATATTTAGATGACAAAAATATCATTCGAGTAGGAGGACGTCTCGATAATTCTAGTTTTAATTTTAATAAAAAGCACCCCATTGTAATACAGTCCACTCATCCTTTTACTAAATTATTATTTTATTTTGAGCATAGGAGGCTATTGCATGCTGGTCCACAGTTATTACTTGCTTCCATTAGGGAATCTTACTGGCCAATAGGAGGTCGCAATTTGGCAAGATTATGCTATCATAATTGCGTTCTGTGTCGACGATTGAAGGGTAAAGTCGTCACTCCCATTATGGGTAACTTACCTTCAGAACGCCTTCGTCCAGGCTATCCCTTTGAGAGCACTGGTGTTGATTACGCCGGGCCTATCATGTGTGCCAGTCGTCAAGGCCGTGGATGCAGGCTAGTAAAGGTGTATATCGCAATTTTATTTGTTTTACAACCAAGGCGATTCACTTGGAGCTTGTTGGTGATTTATCTAGCAATAGTTACTTACTAGCTTTGCATCGATTTATTTCTAGAAGAGGTAAACCAAGTAATATATTTTCTGACAATGGTACCTCATTTGTTGGTGCGTACAACGACTTATCTAAGTTTTTAAAGGCTAATAGCTCGTCCTTGGGTGAAAGTGCAGCGAATGATGGAATAAAATTCCATTTTATACCCGCATACACCCCACATTTCGGCGGACTCTGGGAGGCAGGAGTGAAGTCAACAAAATATCATTTGCAAAGAGTGTTGGGCAATTGTAATTTGACGTTTGAAGAGCTTTACACTGCACTCACTAAAATTGAAGCGGTTTTGAACTCTCGTCCATTAACGCCATTATCATCAGATCCTGTAGATTGTACTCCACTGTCGCCGGGTCATTTTCTTGTTGGGAGACCCTTGACTTCTTTACCGCAGCCTGACTACCGGGATCATTCTATGAACCATCTGTCTCGATTTCATAGAATAGAGCAACTACGCCAGCACTTCTGGAGCAGATGGAGCAAGGAGTATGTATCCGAACTGCAGGTGCGAACCAAATGGCACTCCTCTAAAGATGCTCTAAGGCTGAACACCTTGGTGGTGATTAGGGAAGACAATCTTCCTCCTTTGAAGTGGAGACTAGGACGAGTTGTGGCTGTTCACCCAGGAACAGACGGCATTGTTCGGGTAGCTGACATCCAGACGTCTACGGGAGTCATTCGGAGGGCGTTCAACAGGATCTGCCCACTGCCCGTGTCTTCGGATGAATCTTGTTGAAACCAACGCTTTCAAAACCCGGGGGAATGTACGAGCGCCTGATGGATATACCATAGCAACGACGTGTGCTTAGTATAATGTTAGCTATTAAGTAATTGTATTATTTTAATTTGTATGTACCGACGCTAATCTCTTCACTTGCTGTGCTGTACTCGCTGAGTTAACACCTCATTAAACTTCTACTTGCTGAGTATTCTTTGAGTCTTTTCCTGCGAAGCCCTGGCCAATACATAGCTCGTTGAACGATTGATAATTTGGGTAAGATCGTAGAAAAGATAGAACGGAAAAAGATATACCAAAAGGCGAGAGATGTTCTTAATTATAACATAACATAACGCCTTTTATCTCTAAAGGGGTAGGCAGAAGTGCATATTATGGCACTTAATGCCACTGTACAATGTAACACCTACTTTTCATCACTATTTATGTTACGAGGACCAATGTAGTAAGTAATAGGGGGTGAGTAAATTGCCATATATACCGGTCACATTTACAGACTCCGAGCTATTACTGAGTTTCCTAAAAAATCTTGTAATACTTTGCCCGACCCGGGAATCGAACCCGAGACACTCTGCCCGTCAGTCGCACTTGCGACCATTCGGCCACTGAGGCAGTCATGTCAGATATGTATTAGACGGATACACAAAAGGAAATGTTCTAAACTTCTAAAGGCATTATAAAAAGTTGTTGGAATGAAACCGTACAAAACGACCCCCAATTTCACCAGTATGTAACACCTTATTCAAAAACCTTTAGAATAGTATGCAGAGTTATACACAACGAGACTGGTAGGAAAAGATTAAGAAACTCAGAATTTAATTTAAATACCGAAAGGGGACAGATTTCATCAAACGTAGATGTAGCCCAGGAGTTTGAATTTTTTTTTACTAACATTCCTATTAAAACAATTGAACATTTAAAGTCATTAGCAAACCTCTCTGTAACTTTGCTTAAAAACAACATAGAATCATGTCAATACGACTTTAGTTTTCGATATACGAATCCTCTAGAAATTATAAAAGTTTTTAAACAAAACAAGACCAAATCAACGGAGGATCTTTGGGGCTTATCGGTAATAGTTTGCAAGTCACTTATCCAAACTGTACCGCTATATCTGGCTGTGATTTTCAATAAATGTATAGATGAAGGTGTTTTCCCTGACCTAATGAAATATAGTAAGGTTATCCCACTATTTAAAAGCGGTGACACTAAAGAACCAAATAACTATAGGCCAGTGTCTGTTTTACCGGTTCTTAGCAAAGTCTTTGAAAAGTTGATGCTGTCTCGGATGCTTCATCATTTTAATAAACATTCCATTTTTCACCAACAACAATACGGTTTCACTAAAGGTCGCCAACACCGCACAACTGACGCCGGTGTCACTTTGATTAAGGAAATAGTTGGTGCTTGGGAGGAAGCACAGGATGCTATTGGTACTACGAGACACTTTTGCTGAAATTAGACACTACGAGACACTTTTGCTGAAATTAGATCACCACGGGATAAGAAACTCTGCGCTCCGTCTTAAAAAGAAAGACAGTTAAAGGTTCATGTTAACGGTATTAACTTACAGGGCTCTGGGATGAATATGGCGTTCCTCAAGGTTCAATATTGGGTCCCTTTCTCTTTTTAGTCTATATAAATGATTTGCCATTTATATTTAAACTAGCGACCCGCCCCGGCTTCGCACGGGTGCAATATGTATATACATACAAACCTTCCTTAAGAATCACTCTATCTATTAAAAAAAACCGCATCAAAATCCGTTGCGTAGTTTTAAAGATCTAAGCATACATACGGACATACAGCGAAAGCGACTTTGTTTTATACTATGTATTGAAAATGAACCAAGAATGGTGCTTTTTGCAGATGATACATCATTAATTTTTAAAATAGATCGACGTACAAATAATCTTGACGACGTAAACAGCTCCATTCTTCAAGTGCATAATTGGTTCACCATTAATAATCTAGCACTTAATGAGAAAAAAACAAAATGTATTAAATTCAGTTTACCAAACGTGCGTAGTAACGATTGTGATATTGTTTTGAACGGTCAAAAGTTAGAATTTGTCGACGAGACAGTATTTTTAGGCATTACGTTAGACAATAGGCTACAATGGGGTCCGCATATAAAGGCGCTTTCGGGGAGATTGAGCTCAGCTGCTTTTGCAGTTAGACAGATTAGACAGCTCACGGACGTAGATACAGCTAGGCTTGTCTATTTTAGTTATTTCCACACCATTATGTCGTACGGCATTTTGTTGTGGGGTCGAGCTGCAGAAATAGAATCAATATTTATTCTGCAAAAGCGGGCTATCCGAGCAATATATAACTTACGCAGTTGCGAATCGCTGAGAGAATTGTTTAAAACGATAAATATTTTAACGGTGCCCTGTCAATATATATATATGAATATTTTCATGTATGTAAGGAAAAATAGGCAATTGTTTGAAAAAGAAACGATAGAAACAATTTTAATAGTAGAGGCAAAAATAAGTTAGCTATACCGCAATTCAGACTGTCCGAAGTACAGAAATCCTTTATGGGGTTGGTATTAAATGCTATAATAAAATAGCATACTAGATCTCAATGAAAGTAAATTTAAAACATAAAATTAAGCGCGAATTATGGAATCAAGCTTACTACACACTGACAGATTATCTTGGAGATAAGAATACTTGGCAGCATGTTGGTTCGGCTCCAATGAACAATACTCAAATGTAGTCAGTAGGTACTTAAATTCTAATAGCAGGTAATATAATACACAATTTAATACTTTAATTCTAATGTAGACAATCTAGTTTCCTTATGGCATCGAGCATTTCTTTCTTTATTGAAACAAAGAGTTTCCTTTTTCTTGTATAGAAGCACTATTTCTATGGATTATCAGTAGGTATGCATATGTGGGCACCATGTTAGACTTAAGATTTTTAATTTTATTAAGTTATTAGTATAATGCGTCAAGCGTGTCTTTGCATTGTTCTTGTTCTTACATATGCGTACAGTATTGAAATATGTATCAGAGACATTGTAGAACATACTTTTTAAAAAAAGAGTAACGAATTGAGTTTCTTGCTCGTTCTTCTCCATTCGAATCTACATTTTGGAATGAGCACCTAGCTGCACCTAATTTCACTGACGGACTGACTATTATTTATTTTGTATTTGTTGACGTTTCAAAAGTACCAAACTATGGTTTCTTTGAAATAAATGCCTTGACTTTAACTTTGTTGTCCAAAAAACAACCTTTACAATTACAATGTATAGGTATAATAAACGTAGACTATCACTCGGCAGTAATACTGGCAGCCCTACCTGGCGACAGTCCCGTGGTGCAGGTTGTCGAGCGCGGCGGGGTGCGCCCGCAGCGTGCGACGCAGCGCCGCGCCCCACATGCGCAGCGCGTCGTACAGCAGCGCGGCCTGCGCGGGCGCGCGCGCGCACGCCTCGCACGCCGCCTCGGCCCGCGCGCACGCCCGCGAGCGCAAGCATCGCGAGCGCCACTGCCGACGCCAGGCGCCCTCCTCGCTGTCGGCGGACGCGTCGCTTCGCTCGTCCCAATCTGCCAACCAGGCGGGCGCCACGCTTAGGTGTCCCTCCGCCATGTCGCGTAGTTGTTGGTACGTGCAGTTGTGCGCGTCGGAGGCGGGCGGCCGCAGCCAGGCGCGCGGCAGGGCGCCGGGCAGCAGCCAGACGGCGGGCGGCGCCAGGCCGGCGGCCCGGCCCGCGCACAGCGCCGCGCGCACGACGCGCGCGTCCTCCGCGCACACGTACAGGATGCGCGCGTGCGCGGCCGCCGCGCGCCCTGCCCACTGTGTGTACGACAATGCCAGAATTATTTATTTATTTATTTATAATTCGTGAAGAGAAGGTCGTGAATGATCATATTAAATTGTTCTCTGTTTACGAAATCCATTTTGTTCCCTGAACATGTTATGTTTTTCGAGGTAGGTGTATAAAGACTTGTATAATTATGACTTTCTCAAACATTTCAGAAAAAATGGGGATTAGCGCTATAGGCCTATAATCTTTTTAAAAGGTTTAAAAAGATTAACATTATGCAGAACATACAATATTTTTACTACATTTTCTTATCCTGTTCTGATCCATTTTGATTTTTTGGTTGAAATTGTTGTTATTGTGTCGCTAGGAACGAATTTCGCAAAAATCGTAAAACATTTGAATAAAGATTCGAGTATGCTTCATTAACGTCGTCAGTGGTGTAAATGTTCGAAAATGTGAGATTTTGAATACAGTTTCTAAATATCTCTGTATTATCACAATAATTTCGTCTTTTTATTTTGCAATATTGTAAGGCATATGTCTTCTCAACAGGACATTTCAAAACTTCTGCAGTATGATCTAAAATACACAATTCTATAATTTCTCCCTTAAAGCAGTTTACATAATGTGCTATATTATCTATAGTCCATCTGTTTAGGTAATTAACTAAAGGTAAACAAAGAAAACCACGTGACACAGAGATACTTAACCTACTATTATTTCAAATATTTCTCGTGTTTTAATTTTAACTAAATTCACTTTAAAATCGTTCATTTGTCATACACACACATACAAGTACAAATGCCTAAATCGTACAAGAGCCTAGCCTATGGGTCTATTTCATTATCATGTTTAAATAGAAACTATTCTGAATCTGATGTACGGATTTCTTTCTTGTACGGATATCTGTCTTTGGGCCAAGTTTCTTCAATATATTTAAACACATTAATTACAAACGATGATTAACCTAAACTTAAATAACTTAATAACAAAAACAAAACAAAGAAACAAGTTAAATTCAACAAAATAGGAACGCGAGCGCAAACGACGAGAGAGCTGTCAATGGCGCCTGATTAACCGACTAAACGTAATACACGCTACTTTCATTGTCGCGCTACATCTTCGTTGTACTCTTTAATTTGACAACATTATTTTGCTTCGTTCTTAAAGAAACGTTTTGGATACCTGGGATTTTAGGCTCTTTATGGTGTCTATTGTAATGAAATATTATATTATTTAATAAATGTTATTAAATTAATATCCTCAAGCAGATATATTTAATATTAATTAAGAAATAAGTGAAAAGGAACAGAAACATAACATTTAATAGAGAAAACTGTCGTAAAAAGGGAAACAATTTTATTTTCTTATGAAGTATTTTGAATCATGGAAATGTCAACTATAAAGAACTCTTTTTATGGTTTGTTTACAAATAGTTAACTACCTAAACAGACGGAGTATAGATAGGTCCCACTGCTTCGTCTAGCGGGTTGCAGAAAATGTAGCTTTAGAAGACGTTGGTGATTATGGAAATAGCAAGTAATAGCAAAGTGTACCCACCTGTGTAATCTTGTCCAGGTCGAGGTCGTCGGTGTCGGCGGGCAGCTCGACGTGCACGAGGACGTCGGCGGCCAGGTCCGCCACGTCCAGCGCCGCGCGCGTGGCCAGCTCGCTCAGCACGGCCACGCGGCGCCAGCCCACGTGCGCCGCGAAGGCGGCCCAGGCGGCCGAGTAGTGGCGCGCGTCGCCCGCCGCCAGCAGCGCCCAGGCGGCGGCCGGCGCGGGCGGCGGCGCCTGCGGCGTGTAGGCCAGCACGGGCATGCCCAGCGTGGGGCTCTGCCGCGCCACGTCCGCGAAGGCCGCGCCGCACGCGGGGCCCGCCACGCCCGACAGCGCCCCGAACTCGGCGCCCAAAGCATCCGTCAGGTATTTGAACGCCAGGGTCGACGCGCACTTGTCGTCCAGTAGTTCTACTTTAAAGCTGACCGTTTCGGACGCTTTAGAGTCCTCCTCGGCTAGTAACGCAGCAGCCTTTAGGGCATTCGAATCGAACGCTTCTCGACTGGTGCCCATAGGCAGCATGACGGCCGTGCGAGCCTCGCCGGGCGGGCCCGTCCATTTACTATGTACTTTGAGCATTTCGGCGATAGCCAACGTCGACCCGGTAGTTCTATATCGAATTATAAAATCATTGAACTCTGTCTCCGTTAACTCCAGTCGACCCAGGACACTTATGGTACTGGGTGACTGTAATTCGCGTTCGTTTACAATTTTCATAAGGCGATACGGATCAAAAATGCAAATGTCTTTGGTTGTATCACAAGGTGGAGACGCAAGTTGAGAGAAGTGTTTGGCCGGGGGCGTGCGCGAGCACAGCAAGAGGGCGCGCGGCGGCGGGCGGCGCCAGCCGGCGAGCTGCGGGGGCGCCAGGCGGCAGGGCGCCAGCACGCGGGCGCGCAGGCGGCGCGCGCGCACGACGTCGGCCAGGAGGCGCGCGTCGTTCTCGTTGTCAGCGACCAGACTGGCGCACGACCTCGCGCCGGGCGTGCACCACTCGGGGGTTGAGTTAAAATTAAAGCAGTTTGACTCCAAGTGCTCAAACCTGCAAATAACAATATAACAATACTTAAGTAAATTTTTCTCATCATCAAATGACTTCTCCCGCCTTGGGTGAGGTGAGAGGGACACCACTTACTGACTAAGAACCGCCGCGTCTCTACTCGTGCTCTTCGAGCCGGACACCCTGCAACCCGTTAATCTTGTGCTGGTGTGTTGTTTCTCCGTCAATCTCATAATGATTAATGAATGGACATCGAGTTGTTGTTGTATTTACAAAAGTGCTACCTCGTCGGTCCGACTGCAGGAGCATATCCATGGTTGATATTCCTCTATAGGGAGGTGTTGTGTTAGAATCTGTTGTATATGTAGGTATATTCATTGAGTATTAATATTACAGCCACTGAAACAACGAATACTATACTCCTCTAATGAGGAGCACTGAAACCAGTTGCTGTATTATGAGAAGCAACCAAGGCAATGGTAAGCCATTGTAGGTTCATTTTGACTTAACTTTACTTACGTTGTTATTTAATTATTTATTGTTATGTTCATTTATCTGTTTTCTCATACATTTTCATACCTTCTACACTATGTCAACTATCCCCAAGTATTCCACTTTCTATACATAATCCTAATAATATCTGTTATAAAATACGAAAGATTGTGAGAATGTATGAATACTACTCACACACATAGACACGTAGTCACGGTACCTACCCTGAAGAATTCTTAGCAGCCACCTCTCGCAACACAGCGAAGATATCATGCGACGGTAAGTCGTAGAGCACTGCGACAGCTTCGTCAGTGAAGTCGAGCAAAGACTGCGGCGACCGAGGTATCGACGTCGAAGCTGACGGTGAAACGAAGCAAGCCAGACGCGAGGCTGGTACCGCGTCGCCCAGCTCCGTCAGTCCCACGTCCCGCAGCTTCAGCACGTGCGGCGGCCGCGCGGCCGGCACCGGCAGCACCGCCGCCTGCGCCTTGCCCAGCACCAGCGCGCGCAGCACGTCGTTGCGGCACGCGAGCGAGCTGGGGCCCGCGCCGCCCGCCCGCCCGGCCCACCCGGCCCGCCCGGCCCGCCCGGCCCGCACGACGCGGGCGCCGCAACCGCTTGCGCCCGCACGCCGCGCGCCTCCAGCGCCGCCGCGGCCAGCGCGCCCAGTGCGGCGGCCGAGTCGCCGGGCCCGTCCAGCGTCACGGCCATGACGGCCACGGGTCGCGACACCTCATCGGTGGCGCCAGCGCCCGCAGCGCCCCCGGCCAGCACGCAGAGCCCGAGCACGATCACGCTCCACCACCTGCTATTAAAACTTGAAAGTAGTCATACAAATACAATTCTACCGTACCAACTGTATCCACACTTAATAATTACTACCTACTTACTACTATTTTTATTTAAAAATGTCCCGTTTTTACGAACTACCGACATTGTTCTATTGTTATCAGGTGTTCCTGACGTCTTATCCAGCCGTGCATCTGCATATGGTGCAATACATACTTCATCGTCTTATCTATGGTCATTAACTAGTTATGCCAATAACTTAAAATATATTCCCCGTAAATAATGGTCCAAACTTAGAGGTCGACCGACTCAAATGAAATAATATACCAGCAACAGGGACTTAAATAAAACATCCTGTAGTTTCAGTTGTGTAAATGTCGCGTCTAATTAATATCTTACCAGATGGTGAGACTCTTCGATTGCACGCGCATGCGCGACGAATACTTAATTATCTAAAACATCAGCCCTATAATACAGTTATTATTTGTAACTGAGGTTTATTAGTTAAGGCCACACGGAGCTGGACAGTTTAACATTAATGAATTACGGAACTCATCAGTCTTGTTGAAAGTAAATACCTAACGAACATGTTGTAACATAGGCTTCTATTGCCTAAACTTTCACTGAACTATGAGACCGATTCCTTTGTTGTGACCGGTACCTGAAACGTGACATGTCTGTGCTGACAGTGAGGCGGTGAGGTGGTGCTGCGAGGCGACTGGCGGAGGCAGGGGCGGGGTCAGGACGTCGCCTCCAGCTTGCATCTGCAAATGTCGACTTCATTTGATCTCGTGATGATGTTATGATTTATCAATCAGCACCAGTTTGTTAATCACGGTTTCATCATCAGGGAAATATATAGATATAGCAGTCGACAGGTTCTACTAAATCCAACCACGTTTCTCTAAACGGAAGGAGTCTGTTTTCTATCTCAGTGTAGTTTTAGAAAAAATATTAATTTCATTGCCTCCTCCTCGAAATGGTTTCCTGTGCTGAGGGTCGTGACCACACGGGATTCTTTCTTTGACTTCACTAAAATTATTAGTTTGCAAGCCAAAATTAACTTTAAGCTCTGACTCCTCAACGGTATACTGTAACTACCTTGTGTTTGGGCTTGTTATTGTATAATTTGTATTGATTAGAACTTTGCACCTATGAAGATTTATAAGTAACGAAACGGGTATATGTAGCTTTACACTGAAAATGATAAAATAATAAAATAAAAACTGCGTTTAAAAAACAGACTTCAAAAAACCAAAAACTAATAACAAACAAAAAGTCAAAACTAAAAAGCAAAAAATAACTATTATTAGTACCTACTGATAGGTTACCCACCCACTGATAGGTTAGAAGTCGGTGCCATAAGCTCATATCACAATGATATAACTTAATGCCCACAAAATTGTGAATTAGGTACCTATTAAGGTTTTAATGAATAATTTTGTATGGAACTTATGGCACCGACTTCATACCTATCAGTGGGTGGGTAACCTATCAGTACTAATAATAGTTATTTTTTGGTTGTTAGCACTATTTTATATGGATTGTCAGTATACATATGTGAGGACCATATCCGACTTAAGATATTTGTTTTCTCTTGGTTTTGTTTTTTATTTTAGTACGTTCTGTTATTGGTATGATGCGTCAGGTATGTCTTTACATTATTCTCACATGTGTGTACAATATTGGAATATGTATCAAAGCAGTGTAAAACAGACTTTTTTAAAAGAGTAACGAATGGAGATTCTTGCTCGTTCTTCTCCATTTGAATCGACATTTTGAAATGAGCGCATAGCTTCACTGACGGACAGACTGACAGACTATTATTTATTTCATACTAGCGACCCGCCCCGCCGCGATTATACATATAAACCTTCCTTAAGAATCACTATCTATTAAAAAAAACCGTATCAAAATCCGTTGCGTAGTTTTAAAGATCTAAACATACATAGGGAGAAACAGACGGCGACTTTATTTTATACTATGTAGTGATTTGTCGACGTTTCAAAAGTACCAAATTATGGTTTAATTGAAATAAATGCTTTTCAGTTTGAGTTTTAAGGCTACAATAGGGGCGGGACGACGGAAACTTCTTCAAGACCAGCGTGAAAGTCTAGGTTTGATCTTTCTGGGTAAGGCTTATAGTTAGGACAGTTAGCACGGAGGCTCTGCTTGTGCGCGCGGGATTATTTCCAGTCGGTCTTGAGGCGCAGTGAGGTGGGTGCTATGTAATATGTAGGCCTAATTAAAAAAAACGGGACAACGTGCTTGTATAATATCCGCAAGCTTTCTGGCGAAACTTATTGTAACGTTGGCGCGGTAGCTGGCCAACAGACTACCATGCAATGGTTCGATTCTCGCATGGAGCAACTCTTTGTGTGATCCACAAAATGTTATAATCCGTTTAAAGAACAACGTGATCTCATCAATATTGCTAGATTGTTTAAACAATTAACGGACGTCTGAGATGAATTTGTAACTGAATGGTGGGGAGAATTTTGTGTCAAGAGCCGCGACCTTTATCAGTTTTTATTATCCGTTGGAGGTGGATCATTGTGTGGCCCAATTTATCACTGGCCAATGGCCATGGCAACTTTAATTGTTAATTTATTAACTTGTTGATAAACCATAGTGTCAATGTCCGACAGTGGTCTTGCAATTGAATTGGGATTCCCAAGGGAAATAAAAGCGTGGCCGTCCTCGACAAATTTGGCGTCGCAGCACACTGGAAGCCACGAGCATCGGTATGACGTGGTGCGAACTGAAGCGTGAAGTGTGATGGAGAACTTCAGTAGACTTCAGTAGAAGAGTAACAATGTTTGTAAGGAATATGACTGCGATCCGTTTACAACTAGTGTGAACTCGGCAAAGAGGTGCTTAAGCCTCAAATTTTTTAAGCAGCACTAGATATTTAATTTTTTTTATCGTTTCTCTTGATCTGTTTATAATCATATTGTCTGTACGGTCTGTTTCAATATTTATTTTTCTCATTTATGCAGAATGTATGTATTTTTAATATTGTATAGTACTCACACCATATTAATTAATTTATTCCAAATCATAAACGTGAGGACTTGTTATTGGCTCATTGTTACCTACGCCTATTGTTATTTTTATCCATTTTTATAAGCTGTAAGTCCTCCATGAATTATAAATAAATAAATAAAAGACGCCCTCTGCCTTATCTAGGAGACACAGGATATTAAGTCAAGAAAGTAAGTCATATAATAAATCCCAATAAATCCTATATCCACTGTTTAAAGGTTTTTGTTTTTAAAATTTTATGGGTTATTCCCATAACAGCTCGCACATGGACTATAGGACCCACTTAGTTTAAGTCATTCACTGGTGCTTAACGGCTGCGTTTCTCCCAGTTCGTTATGTAGATTCTTTGAGCTTTTAGGCTTAAGTTATTCTATCTCCTCTGTATAAATTCAACAGGGAAATGGAAATGATTTAGTTTAATTTTTCTAGTCTGATACTTTTTATTTATTTCAAAACTACCGCAAAGTAAAGCTTCGTAAAGAGAGAGAAAGATCACAACTCCTCTTTCCTTACTCCAACAGGCCCACCGGGCGTTTTGGGTGACCGTAGCAACGGCTCGACCGACCTCGTCAAGTCGTCACAGTCGTCGCTCGATCCACAGCAGGCACCAATAGGACTTGTGTATATTGTGTTCGCGTGCACGCGTGCTCCTCGCTCTGTCGTCACTTTAAAATAGCACGCTGAGGGAGATTTAATTTCGCTTCTTCACAATTATTTGAGAGACAAAATACCGGGATAATTTTAATCAGCAAGAGTCTGAAAGTCTTCTTTCATATCATTTAGATTAGATGGTGACTGAGTAGTTGTAAACAAAGTGAAAGGTCAAGGAATAGATAACACCGACGGTCAAGGTTTCCCTCACGTAGGTATAACATACCTACCTATTTTACTCTTATGTCTTTTAATT